AATTAAAATTTCATCCATAAAAATGTGCAAAAACATAAAGAAATTTATGCACTCTATTCTACATATCACCTTCCACATGGGCAACAACCTCCTTTGGCTTTATGGTCACGTCTCTAGGCTAATTTTGGTGGTTTTGAACGATCTGGTCCTCTTTATAGATAGTTAACCCGGGGACTAGCCCTCCTAAACTGTTGGCACACCCTTCTGTATTGGTGACGATTCTTCTTTGTCCAACTGATTGATAGGGCTTATGTAGTTGCATATGTTATTTCATGAAATGACCAAGTGGAAGCTTATTTTCTTACCCTTTTATTTTTTATAAATTACTTATGTAAAACATGTAGGATATGTTAGAGTCATGTTGTCGGCTAAGTATAGGTTGCATCAAGTCCTCATGTAGTCGGCATCATTTTCCTTTTATCGAAGAGGCAAAAGGGGTTAGCATAGGATGCCCTTTATTAGTTTGTGAGTGCCACCTTATTTCACCTCTAGATCTTAGGGATCGTTATATGAGACTGTGTTCCATGATTTTGTAGCACCTTCTCACAGAAGTTAAAGGGCTTTTTTTTCTTATATGCCATTATTTGAGAAGATGTTCCCATCCAAATTCCAATTTAGGAGACGTATGCCCGCAACTAAGTTTGCGTTAAATATGATTTATTAAATCCATTAAATCCGAATTTATTAAATCCATTAAATCCGGATTTATCAAATCCATTAAATCTAAATTTATCGAATCCATAATCCCACGAAAGTCATCTCGATCCATGAAATAAATATGTCTCATACTCAAATTTGATTTTGTAAAGCTGAATTTACATAGATTTTTTTTGGTATCTCACAAGGTGTAATTAACCAAAGAGATAATTTTTTTTTTGGAGTTTCTCTTAACCCTAGAACAAAATAAAAATTTTGGTTCTTTGGTTATAAAGGTTCCCATGTATGTAATTTCTTCGTGGATATATGTTTCAAGGTGTTTAAATCTGATCTCGTTCTTGAATATATATTCTTGACCTATCACACGAGAATGACCTTACATATGTTCTATATGTTATTTTTTAACTTAATTTCTTTGTCTGATTTTGTCTTATTTTCTCCTCTTTTGAGTTATCTTCTTTCTTTGAATCATCTCGGTGGTTCAAAAAAGAGGATTATTTGTAAAGAAAAAGTATAAGGCAACAATCAGACGAGTCAGCGACTCAAGAGTTTTAAAAATAAACAAAACGGTTCGAACGAGTAACGTGGGTTACCTTATTATTATCAGATCTCATAGAATCGTTCTAAACATAGGTCTAATCTAATGTTCGTCGCTCATTGTGATGAGGGTTAGTTCATTCAGATACTCGGGATGTGGCAAGCTTGTTGACTCGATTAAGATTCTATGGGAAGATCCTTAGCCCTTGCACTTGCATGTCTTGCCCGTGGATATATGTATAAGCAATACCTTGTAAGTTCAGTTAAGAATTAGGGTTAGGGTGTAGTTAGGGTTTTTTTATGTGAAATTATTGTTCATTTGCTTTTGCTAGCTGTCGTACACCTTGCGTGCCTTTTTGTATGCTTTATCGAGTTTGTGATGGGCTAAAAATATTAAGATGATTTTTTTCTTGCAGGGAACCATATCCAATAAGGATGAGCTTAATAACGATTTAAGACTAATGCATTTTCAGCAAGTGCAGCTTAGCTCTCCTCCCATCGGTTATGTTCTTTTACATGTTGCATGAGATAGCATGTACTGACTTTTTTTCTACAAGTCGAGTCTTTTTTTTTTAGGTTTTGTCCTTGTATTTTGAAAGTCCTTTAGGAGAATATGTATTATAAATAAGGTATGAGCACGAGTCTTGGAGCTTGGAGCGGGGACCATGTGGTAAGGACCCGGAGCTATTTGTTCGTGGCTTTTACCTTAATTCCATATTATATAATTTTTGTATAGCTTTTATGATCAAGCATATATATATGGAACCCTACCGTCATTTTTCTTTTCTAGTAATGTAGTCGGCCCATCGACACTCGACCTTTTATTCTTTTTATTAAGTGTTTCTTTAGTGCACTTTGCATGTGCTCTTTCTTTCTTATGCACGTGTTTTGTCTGGATACGATCATAATTAGGCTCTTCAGGATAAACGACTATTTACAAAATTAATTTTAAAATATTTATCTTCAGAAATTTTTGGACTAACATCACAAGATTTTAAAACAAACACTTTTATTTATTGTCTATACTTTTCTGCATGTTTTTTGAGCCAGTTTTAAACGATCATGAAATGCATAAATTTATTCCCATCTCATAGTAACTGGGCCTCCAGAATTAGGATACCATAGATCACTAAATACATGTTGCATAACTCATGGAAAATACTCGTTTTTTTTATTTGACTGACCTAACATTTGTTTTATGTGACTAGATGGATGTCTGGTCTGATATAGGATGTTAGAGGCTTTCTTGATCCTGATAGAATCATAAGTTCTTTGTGGGACAACTCAGCTTTATAGCTGAGTTGTTCGTTCTTTCCTCATTCTACATAGGTGAGGAATCACACCTTTGACGGTTTGGTGGGCCTCATGTTTTGGTTGTGCCTGTGCTTGTTTCTTGATCTCCTCTCTGTCCCTACCTTCTCCTTTTCCTTTAATCAATAACTTTATTCTCTCAGTCTTTCATTTTTTTTACTCAGATCAGACTCACGAGCTAAAAATGACATTCAAGACAACTCATTTGTAATTCAAGCCAGCTAGAAAAAACATTCATTTTCAATCAAAACTTGGATCGAATCAATCCTTGAGCTGATTTTGATCCATACAGCCCTACGCGCGTGCGCGCGGAGGGAAGGGGAGAGAGAGAGAGAGAGAGAGAGAGAGAGAATGTGTGTGTGTGTGTGGATAGAAATGGGTAAGATCATGTGAAGCTTACGCTGAGGATGAATATAATGGTATTTAACAAATTTAATAGAACTAAACTACAAAAAATTGGCCGAGAATACAAACAGGGTGTTTTTTTCTTTTTTTTTTTTTTAAGGTTTAGGGTTTAGATAGAAAAAAATTTAAACAAAATGTTTTACTAATCATGAATCATCTCAAAGTTTTAATAAAAAATATAAAGGAATATCCAGTCATAATGAGCATGAAAATCATTAAATTTGTTATGTAAATACACACACAGATAGACATTTATATATCTGCTGCTTGCTCAGATTAATAGATCAGACATCTGCTTGTCAGTTGTAGGTCTTCTCTGGTCTTGAGTTTGATTCCCCTCAAGTGTAGGTTGTGGTACTTGAATTCTTAGCCGCATGATTGATGGTCGGGGCTCATATAATAGCCTCCGGTCATTCCTTTTTAAATAAAAAAATGAATATATATATATATGAAGCTCCCA